GATTTGTAATATTTTTTTGCATTTTATCATTCAAAGAATAAATGGATAAACATTGTAATAAAGAAAGTAGAAACTGAACAAGTGTATCGAAAGTGATCTTGAACATTTTTATGGCGATAACAACAAAAAACGCGATAAAATTCCTGCGTATACTGTTTGACTATTTTGAATGATTTTAATGTGTCAGCTCGCCAAAAATGTAATGAGCGATGTATGACTATTTCTTATAAAAGGTGCTCAGAAATGAGAATTATAATCCTAAATATACTGAAAAAGGGTATTTTGGACAAAAACTAATATGGATAATCATTGCCAATCGGAAAGTCCTTAAAACCGACATAACTCTATTGATCGATAAAGCAAACGATGATCTGCAGGAAGCAACGACATCTTTAAAATTACAGAATAATGTTGTTAACTTGCTCAGAAGAGTGAAAAATAAGTTTTGAATGCCTGCCTATTGTTTAACAACATACAAAAAAATAATCACAAGTACTGGGGTAACTATTCTGTTATTTGACTAACACCTCTTCAACAATTTAATTTTATCCTTTCAACTGTTCAAATATTTATAAATCTATGAACTTTTTTCTAAAGCTTCATTTGAACATGGTGAAATTGCTATTAAATAGTAAGTGTTAGCTGATAAGTGTATCGAACGATTGTAGATGCAACTTGGATTATAAAATAAAGTATCAATCATAATAAAATTGTTTGTAACCGGTGTTACAGAATAATACATCTACATCTACTCTAGCAATACGCTCAAAACTGGAAACCATCTTTAGAGTCCTGTCTGCTAGTAGCCCCATAATAGAAGAATACTGAAGTAAAAAAATGCATTATTCTAGCCAATGCTAACTGTATAATGGATCTTATCTGCAAAGCAAACATTAATAACATTTTTATTGACTTCCCTTTTCTCTGTGATTTGAAAACAACTAAACGAAACACTATTTTGTCATCGTTTGAAATTATGGTAAACCGCCCATATCTCTGTACTACACATTTTTGAACTGTTCAAAAATTGTAACAGTCTTTTTAAATTTCGATTTGTTTTAATTTACTAATAATGTTCACCAACCGCACTAATTATTCACATGTTCTTGTAAAACTTTTACAACAAACCTATAACACCCTCTATACACAACAGTATTCGTAGAATTTTTTTCTCTTTTCCCATTATATAATAGAAGTATATGCAAGTACATTAAAAGTCATATTTAAAAGTTGATAAATTCATACTTGACAATACATTCTATCATGCAATAAAGAAAAAAAATGTTTGAGACAAAGAATTGTCCCAAATATTTACTTTTAAAAATGATTGTTGTTATAGGTTTATTTTTCAATTTATTTTTTGAAAAATACGAAGAATCTACTACCGTGTAGACCTATATATATATATATATATATATATATATATATATATATATATATATATATATATATATATAGTGTGGAATAAAACGATGATTATTTACATTACCCTAATGACTTTACGTTTTCTTTATCAATCCATTTTAAACTTATCTTTGAGTTTACCCATTTTAAACTGTATTATGCTATAAAGAAAGGAACTGTTATTTCTACATTAGTCAAATTTATTGTGGGTACATTTTTACTACACTATATATGTCGTAGTGATAACATGTTATTTTCTGTAATCCTTGATTATTCATTTGTCAATCAACAAGGAGCTTAGACATATTAATTTGTTTAAATATTTTTATATGTAAATAATAATCCCCAATATTCCAATGTACCTATATATAAAGACATTTGCTCAGAATTTATTTGCACACTTTAAAACTATCAAGTTTTAGTAAAACTGTCAAGATTTATAAAACTCTAAGATACATTTTAAATGTTTCTTTTTGGGAAAAATTAGTACATTTTCAGGGAAAAAAATCTATTTAATTGGTAGATATAGTTCGTGTTCCTAATTGATTAGAGAATATTAGTACCAAATATTCTCTATAGTTCCAAAATATTGAACTGAATAATAATCTAAATAATCCAAGTTATTTAATGATTAATTCCTTATAGTTTAGGTTATAACAAACGTTGTTTGGTTCAGATTTAATGTAAACACTTTATAGAACGTTTCATGTTAATCTTTCAACCTAATTAGGGTCTGTATAAGTAAAATAAATGAATGTATTAGAGCAATTCCATACAAGAACTAACTCTCTTAAATTTCCAGGTTGATAAATGTATTCATATTTTACTATAATCAGTAACGAAATAAGCCTTAAAATATTATTTCTTATCCATCATCTTTATTAAATTATCTACATAGAATTTATATACAAAAAAAAAGGTTTTTATTAATTTAAGTATTACAACATATTTATAAAAGATAATAACTTACATTTGTAGTGCATTAGCTGATTCATAAATATTTGATATTGTTAAAAGTATTAAAAACAAAAGTGTAATTAGTTTCATGTTTTCAACTGACTGCCTTTGAAACGTTTCACAGATATCAGTTCACGCACCAGATTGACTGCTCTATATTGTCTGAAAACCTTTATATATATATATATATATATGTGTATATGTTCACACACATTTTATGCTTGAGTTAACTTTCTGAAATTTGTATTTGTTTTGGCCTAACTAATAAAATGCAATTGGTTAATTCAGTTAGCATTATTTTATTTGTTTCTTTTTTTTCAAAATGTAATTCTTATTTATTTTCTTTTTTTCTTCTATCCTTTAGTTATATGAGAAAACGTTTGGTTAGGGGAAAAATAATTTTGTATGCAATTCATTTCTTTCATGGGATAGAGATTATGTCCCACGTAATATATAATAGATAATTAATGACAGATATAATAGTATTTATTTGGATCATTCAACATGAAAACAGTGTTTGTAATTAGCTCACTAGAATTTTTGTTTTGTTTTTACTTCTACTAATAAAAAAACACAATGAATATGTCGTTGTATGATTTACAATTATGTTTGAAAAGATAATATCTTAAAATGTATAAGATATAATGTTTTATTATAAAAACGATAAACAGAATATATATGATGTTTCTACACTAACTGATATAGTTCGATAAAACTTTATTAAGTCTTAACTTCTCTTCATGTTTTTTTGTATTGTGAATGATTGAAGCATAGGACTAGTTGATGAAGAGAACACTGTAACATTTATTCATCTATAAAGGTTTTAATCTTATCGTTACGTTTTGTATGCCTATAAATAATAAGTTAGTTGAAATATTTGGCAAAATTTAAACATAACTACACACAGAATTCCATGATCAAATTTTATACTCCTCTAGTGATAAACAGATTGCTTAGTTTGAGTCGTTTGTGACTTTAAGAAAACTAATGGGTTAATTAAATGTTTCAGTTAGAAATCACTTTGTGTGCCATCTTAATCCAAACATGTGACTGTCACTTAAGTGTTTTATCTTTCTCAAAATAACCACTAGACATTTGATGTTTATATGAAGAAAACATTCTACAATTCTCGAAATATAAGTTATATCCATAATTTTCAATTATATTTAAAATCTTCATTAGTACCGTTAAGATTAAAAAAGTAGTTCGTTTTCAAAACTTAGTAGTAGAGAAAAATTGAAGATAATTGGTGATACTCAATACACAAGTAGAAACTGAAGATAATTTCAATATTTTAGTTACTTATAGCATGAATCTTATATTATGAGCATGAACCACTGGTTTCAGCAGGATTGCTTGAGAAACTCAGATTGAAAACTGATTATTTAGCTCACTGTTTTATTGAAATATTGACATAATAATTTGATAAAGTAAACTTTTTCTTTAACTGCATAACCTACTAAAGATATCATTATAAAGATGCCTATATAGCCTCAATAATCATATTTCTATTATAAACAGCCACACAATGATTGCACTATCTTCAGATTTTGAAACATTGACTGAACCAAATTCAAAATCCAACTATAAGCTTGCAATATACATTTTATGCTAGATCATCCTTGTATTATCTCGTGTTTGTCATTACAAAAAAAGGTTAAAGAGAAGTGACTCATATGTGTAAAATGACATGTTCTACATCACTCAGAGTTTTAAAGAGCATATATAACGTATTTGTCCAAATAAATAAACTGTTTTGAAATGTTTATATTTTATAAAATACTATTGTCAGTAATCGTTTTTTGTGGTTTATTAGATAACTCCTAGTTGTTTGATTAGAAGCAATCAGAAGCAATTGACAGTTAGATTTTGGTTTACTATAAGTTTTAGATTATATCAATACACCGAGTTTACTTAAGGAATATGGTTATTATTTATGGCATCAGGAAAAATAACTGCTGTACTTTGGACATAGCTTCTTGTTATGATTGTTGATAAACTTCTGCTTGTTAATTGGATAGGATAAGACTGATATGACTCGCAGCAAAAAACGAATGCAAGATTGTAGAAGGTTTATTTATGCACCAAGCACTGATTCTAAAATCCGGTTGATAGTTAGGTCCCAATGTATTGAACTGCTATTATTTGACAATAGTTAATTGATAAGTCAATGCATGTACATAGTTCACAAAACCAATAAATTAATTGATTTCACTGACGATAATAAATAAACTTCTGAGTTACATTTTTCTTCTTTCTAACAATGTTAATTTATGGAATAAACTTCAGTGATTCTTAATGCATCATGAAGAAAAGTATTCAACTAGTACTACTGAAGTAGTTAAAATTTTGACAAGTAATTTGAGTTAAATTATTTTTGCAACATCGTTGTCGACTTCATAAAACTCACCAACTGATTTTCAATGTCTTTATTATTTTGAACAGTCATTTTATTCCAGTTTGTAAAGTTTTGTGATAGATTACTCATGATTTAGAGCTGGTATTAATGCTCGTTAATGATAATTAACTTGAATTTACATATCTGTCATATAAAAAGAAGTCAGCTTATTATTATTAGTAGTAGTATTAAGATTACACACTGTCTTTATAAGTGGAAGCAAAACACAAATCTCAATTGGTCAACACATTAATCTAGAAAAAATAGGACGAGATGAAAACAATTCATGTTTGCTTTTACATTTCGAAAAAGCATTAAATCTCGATGATGATGATGATGATGATGATGATGATGATGATGATGATGATGATGATGATGATGATGATGATGATGATGATGATGATGATGATGATGATGATGATGATGATGATGATGATGATGATGATGATGATGATGATGATGATGATGATGATGATGATGATGATGATGATGATGATGATGATGATGATGATGATGATGATGATGATGATGATGATGATGATGATGATGATGATGATGATGATGATGATGATGATGATGATGATGATGATGATGATGATGATGATGATGATGATGATGATGATGATGATGATGATGATGATGATGATGATGATGATGATGATGATGATGATGATGATGATGATGATGATGATGATGATGATGATGATGATGATGATGATGATGATGATGATGATGATGATGATGATGATGATGATGATGATGATGATGATGATGATGATGATGATGATGATGATGATGATGATGATGATGATGATGATGATGATGATGATGATGATGATGATGATGATGATGATGATGATGATGATGATGATGATGATGATGATGATGATGATGATGATGATGATGATGATGATGATGATGATGATGATGATGATGATGATGATGATGATGATGATGATGATGATATACCATCTAATCTAATTTATATAAAAATATATACTGAAATCCAGAATGTAATTTGGGAAAGAATACTTGAACAAAATAAATATCTGAATTTGCGTAGAAATAATAATTGTTCAAACATTATATTATATTTATTTTCAAGATACATAATGAGCAGACAAAACTTACTTTATTTCACTATAATACAGGTTATATCTTTTTCCTTAAATAATAGTCACTAATTCAGTGAAGTCTATAAATGTATTTTCCACAAATAATACTTTTTTACGTTCAAAGAACGCAATTGAATATGTTCGTTACGATAGTTATCCGATAAAAATGATTCAAATGGTTATTGTAAAGAAAATAAGTTGTAAAAGGATAACACTTCACATATTAAGAATTATATTAACTGAGATTACCTTTTAGAGATCTATTCATTGTGAAAATTGTACCTTTTAACTTGACAACTAATATAAATAGATATTTTTGGTTTCGTTTTACAATCCCCACCAGTTAGCATTAGGGCTCTACCAAAAGATAAATATTTCTTCCTGCTTCATTCAGAACTGGAAATTACAAGTATATGGTTACAATCAATATAATAGTTTATATATATATACACTCATGTAATTTGACATGTAGATATGTGCTTTATCGAGCCAAACTGTACAGTTCATACTTTAAAGGTATTCGATACAAATAAATAATTGTTTTCATTATAAAATCATAATACTGACAAGGAATGTTATAATGAATAACATAACATCCTACAAACTGACCGCTTTATAATTCCATATTCCCTTCGACTCAAGCGTATATCTAAAAAGAGAAGTTGGTCGCTACTTTCTTTTTCACATTTCATTACGATATTATTCGGTACTCTATTGAGTTTATCTAATAACTGAGAAACATCAAAATCTTTAGGAAAATTGTGGTGTTTGCTACTTGCCTTCGACATAAGTAATACGTAACACCAATCGGGAGCGGAATGCCTAGCAGAAGAAGGCTTAGAAGATTGAAGTGAAGAAAACAGGAAGGTAAATAGGAAGGAATTATAAATTGTTAGAATTATACAGAATGTGGAGGACAATTGATGAAAATTTGTGAATGAAGTATTTAATGTATGGTTCGCATATTTTAAGAAAATATTCTGCAATTTTAAAATAAATAATAAATTAGTTGTCCCCACCTTAGATCTCGTTCATTACACATGTAACTAATATACCGTTCCTGTATCTCCTATATAGAGTTACCTCGTTGATGAGGTCACTCGTCATATTTTCAACATATCATATAAATATATTAGCTAAGAGATGTCCCGATGGGCTACCCATTACAACACTATCAAGTTGTTGAAAATGTTCACCTTTAAATGTAACTTGGACTTTTGCAGTAGATAACAGAATCAGTTCATTCGACAGTGTCGTTTGAATAAGAAAAAGGTGGAAATTACTCGATCTATGGTCAAAAAAGAAATCAACAGTCTTGGTTAAAGGTACACTCGTAAAAAGAGAGTTTACATCAAAAGAATGCATAGTCTTTTCTTTGAAATTAATGTTATCAAGAAGATCAATTATTTCAAATGTTTTTTAAGAAAAGCTTACACAGTTTTTCATGGATTTGGTTTAGCAATTTTACTAGTTCATGTGTAGATGAACCTCACTTAGATAATATTGGTCGTAATTGATTATTAGGTTTATGAATTTCAGGCAGTCCATCCAAATTCAGGAGAACACAACGGGTGGGTTTTAGCATGTTAAATTCTTATTTGTTTATGACATTCATTTTAAGGAGCTTCATTAGATTGAAATTTACTCCGGGTTTCAATTTTCTAACATCAATATCGGATGGGACATCCACCAGGAACTTACTCTGATCATCGAGTATAGATAACATTTTTACCTTACAGTCATAATAATTCATAAAGTTTTATTTAAAAAAACTTTCTGCGGAAGAAGAAAATTATTTATTATGTTTACTTATAGCAGGTCTTATCGCATGGGCATGATAGTATGTTCTCCTGGAAAGTGAGGATTTCAGTTTCATATTATTTGGCGTCTGTTAAGTTCTTTTTTATAAAAATGATGAAAAAGAGAACTAAATCCAATATCAGTTTTATTATACATTTCTTTAAAAAAGATTATGCAGCCATGTTAATGATATATTAAAAGACTGATCAAAGACCGAGTTGTTTTGGTGAACTGCTTTCAATTAAGTATTCTTATTTCTATTAAAACAAGATAACGTATCTAGCCATAAGAAGGAATGAGATCGCAAAACACAGCAAGACTGTACAGAATGACTAGTTGAACCTAATCCATTGATCATGGTTATATCAAGGTGGTGACAAGCAAGTCATAATAGAATCACAACTGTTGAGATTGACCGAACATTACTCCAAAATCATATTTATGAATAGTTGAAAAGGATTTTCTATCAGGTTAGTTGTGTCCATTATCTTTCCACATGCTATCATCGACACAATTTTTAAGAATTATGAACCTTTTAAAGTTTGTGTCGATGATATTGTTTATAAAATTGATGAAAGACACACAAACAAACTTTTCATTTCAGAGAACACATTACCGAAACTTTACATTCAAACATATAACTATTTCAATATTTACATTTTTATTTATTTGTTTAATTTCGTAAACCCCATTCTTTAGACAGTAATGACAGTACATCATTTCAGTTACACCATAAACCCATGCTGATTTACTGAAATAAGAATTTCAGTATAATTATTTAACGAGGTACCAAAGTGACTATAGTTGAGTAAAAATCAGCTTTGTAGCAAGTTTTTGATCAAATGATCTGATTAGTATTCACATGTTGGCATGCTTGAATATATAATTTTTATACAATGTGTACATTTTTGATAATAGAATACTAATGATAATATATAACATATGTAGCTATGCGATTGTGTAGTAACACTTAACAAAATATTCAATCAATACATTAAAACAGAATAGGTCATAAACGAATGATGATAATGATTGAAGACTCAGTTCTTACAAACTGAAAAGTTAGACGGGTACGTGGAATGTATCTTTACAAACTTACTGAAATGATACTAACTACCTTCAACAGTTCAACAAATCTGTCAAAATATCTAACCACACAAAGTATATCAAACAGTTTCATAAGATTTTTATTCAAATATATCTCATGATGAATAGACTGAATAGACAAAGCAAAATTAAATAGGTAAATTTTTTAAAAAAAAAAACATCACTCCACATGCACATGACATTTCCAAAATGGAAATCTTCTAAGTACAAATTTGCTTTTAGTACAACCATATCTAAAGACTATGGAATTCAATTTACTAAGTATATTATCTAGTCTAAAAATGTTTCCTAAAGTAAATAATAAATTTAGAGGTTTGTTCTCTTTCTAGTTCAGGACGTTATGATCTAGTTATTTATCTTGTTTTACCATTATATTCAGAGAAGTAAAATGCACATTAGCAAGTGAAATAATTTTATCAACTAAAACAAATGGACGATGTGTTAAATGTTTAATTTTAAATGAGATAACTATGTTTTCAACACAAATGTATTTAATATTTCATTAGGTAAATAAACTATAAATTTGTTTGCATTTAATTAATTAATAAAATGGAAAATTTTTAAATAAATTACTTTCACAAAATTTTGAGAAATTAAAAGCCTATCAATTTGTAGATCCTTTTGAACTTCAGAAATATTTCTCTGGTTAAATAATTTGATTAGAATATACTATTAAAGGTAGATTTGGTTTGTGCTATTTCATCGTATTTATTTTGAATGTTACGAAAACCGGATTAAGTAGTTACTATTTTCATACTAAAACTTTAAAAAAAACATCAGCTTACGTCAACGTATAAAACATTAATCGATGACTTGTAATGATCTACAGGTACTTGCTTTTGAGTATTCATAATTATTGATTACTGTTTCCACTTAATTCTCAACTAAGCGAACTATTAAATACTTACATGATTTAATTAATTAAATATCAGTCAATGTATTAAGTTGATATTTTGCTATTAATCTTCCCTTGCAATAAAGTATCAGTAAATAAACTAGTAAATTACAAGATTTCTGAAGACATTAGACAAATACAATTTTCTGTTATGATACTTGTATAATGTTTCACTTACAAATGGTACTTTATACTGACATCTCAGTATTTTTAGTCAATCCCTAGGAATTCAAACCACTTTGATCTACTGCAGTGTTATGCATGAACTGTAGGAGACTATAGAAAGCAACTATGAAATATGACCGTTTTTACTATCACATATTAGTTAGATCGTTTTAACTAATATATATTCTTTACCGTTTTTATACACTGATAAACATAATAATATCATAAATGTCGACGTTTTTGGTGTAATTCTATGTTTTATTAGGTGGTTGTGAGATTTTCTACTTCTTATATGGTAACACATTCGCTGATAATATATCTTTACAAAATATCTTTCGGCAATGTATAGTTCAAAAATCTATTTTATTTAACCATCACAGTCACTTTACTTTATTCTGCCAAGTGTACTAGTAAGTCGTAAAATAAAGTGTAAAAGTGATTGATAAATCTTCCGATGGAACGCTCGAATATATTTCCTAGATGCTCCTAATAACTTCAGACTAAAAGCCGCTAAGTATGAAAGCATTGCTTTACTCCAAGGTTAGTCTATGTACAAAAAACGAATATTTCAGTTAGCCCGGAACTTCTGAAAGTTTCTGGAACCACACTATATTCAATAGTAGCGTAAGTAGTTATCCACTCAGAAACGTGACCTGTGACTATTCACATTTTTAATATTTCTGGGAAGCTTCTCTTCAATACTGTTTGGATAAAATGTACCCCACTGTTTCCTGGGCCGCTTTTACTTTTCAAAGCAATCTTTGGATATATCCAACAGAGATCATTATCAATTTATCCAATAAAGTATCTAATCACACCTTTATTTTCAGTAAAGAAAACGAGTTATTAAGACAGTGGGTAAAATTCTCAGTGTTTGACGTCACTATACGAGCGTGAAGACAGTTCTACTGTACGGAGCTGAAACTTGGAGAACTACCACAGGCATCATCAAAAAAGTACAACTATTTATCAACAGTTTTCTATACACCACACTCAATGTCTGTAGACCGGATACCATCAACAACAGTCTTTTATGGGAGATAACAAACCAGCTTCTAGCTGAGGAGGAAATTACTAAAAGATGGTAGAAATGGATAAGACATACATTGCGAAAATCATCAACCTGCATCACGAAACAAGAGCTAACTTGGAATTCTGAGGGGCAAGGAAAAAGAGGAAGACCAAGGAACACATAGCGTCAGGAATTGGAAACAGACATCAAAAGAATGAATAATAATTGAAAACAGATGAAAAGAATTGGCCAGATCAGTGTTTGATGTAGAATCTAGGTCGAGTGCCTATGCTCCTCCACGAGGGGTCACAGTCGTAAGTAAGTAAAACATCGTTCGGGATATTTATGTACACTTTAGATCAGTTACGTTT